CAGCCTCTGGGAATTCAAGGCCAGTCTGGTCTACATAGCGAGTTCCAAGACAGCCAGGGCTACATAGGGAGACCTCGTCTTAAAATAAATGACATAAAATGGGAAAGACCAGGGAGGGAGGAAAGAGAGGAAGAAGGTCCTATAGTTAAAGAGTTCTGTGCTCCCATGGGGGACGATCAGATGTTGGGTATCTTTTCTTAAAAAAAGAATTATCAAGATGAGGCCACAGCTTTCTGCTTAAAGGAACTCAGGATAAAGCAATTTTGAGTCCTTGGTAGCAATCTCCCTCTTCCAAAGGGATAAGGTCTCAGATGCCCTTCCCAATGTCAACACTGGTGCTGTGTCCTGGGGAGACTCTAGGACACGTTGTTGTCACTGCTAGTGTAGAGTCAGAGAAACCTCCCCAGAACCCAGATGCAGCTCCAGTGTGTAAGGGACGACTGACAGGAACCTTGGTCTTCCTCAGGGAAGAAGCTGAGGCCTAGCAGGTGAGCACTTACATTCTAGCTTATCCTGAGGTCTCCCAGTCTCCAACAGGGACAAGTAACACACGATATCCTTCAGGTACACCACGGGAGCATCTGGACTGGAAGACAGAGCATCAGGATCTTCCCATGGGGCTACAGCCTCTAGGTCTTTAGGCGGTGCTTGTATCTTAGCCAGTTTTGATTCTGAAAGACAAAAGGAGAACATCTGAGGGCCTTTATGTTAGTAAACATTAACCCTCCTAATGGTCCCAACCTCTTCACAGTTGAGGTGAGAATGTTCTATGGGTGTCTTAAAAATGTAATTAATACATATTATGTAGTATGGCCACAGAAATGCAGGATGTAGTTATTTTCTATGAATGGCTTCATTTTTGATCTGTTTAGGAGCATATTTCCTTGCAGAAAGTTTACCCATTCTCTGAATTTTTCAGGAAAGATGACAGTGTGTCCTGTTGACAACACAGTGAACAGATAGATACTAACCATACTACTCACCACATCCATACCCTTTCTTAGTGGGGAGCTGAGGAAGCCTGGAGTGGATGTGACATCCTCAGTAGATATATGCTGTTGATTTAAGGTAGCAGTGCCAAGGACCACTGCCTCAGATCCATGGGAGTGGCAAAGCCTTCCCCAGGTGAGGCCGGGAGAGATGGCAAAGACTTCCTCTGGTTCATGTATGAATGCTGACAATGTGTGGAGAAAATGATCCCCCTACCATGTTAACATCTTGAAATTGCTGCCCTACAGACAGCATGTCTACTGAGTTAGTGAAGCCTGTCTCCTTGTTCAGCTGTTTATAATAGTCCTGTCTCCTTGTTTATCTGATGTGATGACCCCATCCTTTTGATCAGCTGGTGTGCAATAACTCTGCCTCCCTGTTCAACTGTATATAATAAACACTTTGCTAAGCCTCTGAGTACTGTGTCTTCTCCAGCAGAGCCTAGACTGTCTCATTCTAGCTTTTTTTGTGCCCTGTGTCTGTCATTTCTTCATTCCTTCCCTGTACTGGTAGCTCAGTCCCTGCAGCCATGCAAAGATGTGGTATTTCATAGTTATCTTCTGCAAATATACTTAATGGCAAATGAAGAGACTGATATCTAAAGAAAAACCCTACCAACAATCATCACATTTTCAGAAACAAGGAAACTGACTATCTGCCAAGAAAATGCAGAAAGTGACTTGCTCTATGCTCCATGAGGAAACATTTCCCCGCACTCTGTCCCCTAGTTCAGAAATACAAAATTCATTATCAGTGAGGACACTAGGAGTTTTATTTCGCTATGTGAAGTATATGTTCTGAGGAACTTTGTTCTTTCTCTCCTCTGCTTCACACCCACGAGAATCCTTTTCATAACCAGTAGGATGCACAACACACGGGACACCACTGACCGTGGGCTAAACACCACACTGCCAGTGGGCAAGCCAATGGAGGCATCGTGGTGCCAACAAGCGGTGAGTGCTGCCGCCATGGACAGAGGCAGCCTCGATGGCAATGCCTGCTGGGGAAAGGCAGTATTACCCCATACTATTCAGAGAACCCAAGAGCCACACGACGGGAGGAAGCATTCCACCCCAGGACAGCAAGTCTGAGGAACAAGGTCTGCCCAGGCCTGCAGTGTGGGCTGTCATTTAGAAAGGAGTTAGCTGTCATTCACACTGACAGTAGAGGAGATGAGAGGTCTCTGGGTGTTACAGAGGGCCCATGAAGAGACCACAGCAAAGCCTAAGAAACACAGAAAAGGAAGACAAAAGACAGGTGAAGAGAGGAAGCTTCACCCAGAAGTCTCACAGGGCTGGGGTTCTGAAGGTAATTTTCTATTGGACAAGACACTCTGGAGCTGCAAGAAGGCAGAACCTCTATTTGTTAAGGACAGATGGCTTCCGAGGTGGCCAATAGAGGTAAAAAGAATATGAATGAGATAATAACAGAAATAGTGGGGTGGGAGGATTGAGATGAACCAAACTATTAAAATCATCCCTGGAAGAAATGCCATGGAAATTCCTAAGAATGATGTGGAAAACAAATGAGAACATGGTCCTTTGTGCCAGGGGGGTGGGGTGGGGTGGCTAATGCCCCAAGTTACTGCTGTGTGCTCAAGTTACTCATCCATTGCAACACCATCAATGGCTTCCACTAACTCTGGGTAACATGGGACCAGATGTATTGTCCCACCCGACTCAACTAGTACCTGTACAGAAGATACAGAGCAAATGTTATAGGACATTATATTTCAAGTAGGGTCCCTGAGAAAATGGGAGACAAGTCAGAGGTGAGTTGTCCCCCTAAGGTTGTCACATCTTAGCATTTGGAAGAAGTTTCCATCCTGTACCGGGGGAGGGGGAGGGAGAGGCACTCTGGCAGATCCTGGCATTCTCTGTGATGTGAGGAGGAGGTGGGAGCCCAGAGTGGCTCCTAGAGAGCCACACAGACAGAAACCCAGAGATATGTACAAGGCTGCTTTATAGCCAGTAGCATCACCTTCAATTCTATAGCAGAGTGGGGATTGTTGCTCCCCGGGGAGGAACCTGCCTGAGGCTGGGGAATGAGATGGTTATGTTTGGGATGGGAATAGGAGACGAAGCAGGACCAGAGGGACAAACTCTGGGATGAAAAGTCAGGAGCAATGTTCGCTCTCATCAGTGGGGTAGAAGCCCCTAGAAACCACGTTACCAAAGAACTCTGCCTCAACAGCAAGACAGCGTCAGATCTAGATGTTCAAGGGTATGTAAACAGTTGAGACTGTTTCCAGGTAACCTCTCTTTACCCTAAACAAGCATACCGATGTTTGTTGAAATGCAAAAACAGTCCATACTGTACTCAGCCTTAAAGAGGAGCTGATAAGAATTCTATACAAAGTTTCCCAGAAAACTGAAGGGCTAAAAATCCTACCCAACCCAGATAAGAAGAACAGCACTGCTGCAAGGCCCAAATCAAAGATATCGCAAGAGTTGCAAGTGGGCATTCTTCATGGGCTCAGAGGTAGAAATTTCGCAATGTTAGCTTAATGTATTAAGTAGAAGTTAGCGGAGACTTAAATAAAGAGACACTGTGCTATAGGATTAGACCCAGGGCATTAAGATACCAGTTCTTTCTGATTCATCAGATTTCTAAGATGCAATAGCAAAGACCAGCCATAAAACAAACAAACCACATTGAATTGTATTTCATAAAAATTAAGAAATTTTGGAGTTAGGGTTAAGAGCATATTTTGTTCCTATAGAGGACTCAGGTTGGGTTCCCAGCACCTTTGGTGATTCACAACCACTATCACTCCAGTTGTAAATGTGATGCCCTCCTCTGACCTCCACAGGCATGAACATGGGGCACGTACATATATGCAGGCAAAACATCCATACACACACAGCTCACATAAAGTAAAATGAATAATTCTTTTACGTTGTTTTGTTTTGGAGACAGGATTTCTCTGTGTAGCCTTGGCTGTATTGGAACTTGCTTTTTAGATCAGGCTGGCCTTGAACTCACAGAGCAAATAATTCTTTCAAGATATTAAAAAAAAATTGTTCTTCAAAAGACCCTGTTAAACAAAGACATCTGTTCAACGATGTTCATAGCAGCACTATTTGTAATAGCCAGAAACTGGAAGCAGCCTAGATGCCCCTCAACTGAAGAATGGATAGAGAAAATGTGGTACATTTACACAATGGAGTACAACTCAGGGGGAAAAAAACCAACGGAATCTTGAAATTTGCAGGAAAATGGATAGAACTCGAAGAAACCATTCTGAGTGAGGTAATCCAATCACAAAAAGACAAACATGATATTTAGTCACTCATATGTGGATTTTAAACATAGAGTAAGGGATTACCAAAAAAAAATACACACTGCCAGAGAAACTAGTAAACAAGGAGGACCCTAAAAGAGACAAACATTGTCCCCTGGAGAAGGGAAAAGGGTCAAGACCCCCGGAGAAAATTGAAAACAGGGGAAGAAGGGGGAGGGAGCTATGAGAGTGAGAAGGGAAGAAGAGGAAGGATGCAGAGGTCATGAGGGAGCAGAAAGGTTGAGTCAGGTGTAGATTAGAAGAAAGGATACGCTATAGGTAGGGTTTTAGTTGTAGGGGTGGTAGGGAAGGAGGGGAGGGAGAAGGGAACTGGGATTGTCATGAAATTCAATCATGCTTGTAACTCAAATAAAAAAAAAAGACCCTGTTAAGGCCAGGGAGAGGATCAGTGGGTAAAACAAAAGATTTGAACATTTTTATTGAGGATGATTCATAGATGCCCAGTAGTCTACTGAGCACATAACAGGACGTCACCAGGAAAATGCAAACACAGACCACTGTGAGACGCCACCTTCAGTGTATTAGAGCAATGGGAAATGAAGATGAAGGAGTGAGCTGCAGGGGCCTTTGTGCAGCCAGGGGTGTAAACAGGCCAGTGGTCTTGAAAAGAGCTTGGCAATTTCCTATAAACGGAAATGTGCACAGTGCCTGCCACATTATATCTGGTATTCCATTCCAAGTGTTTGCCCAAGGGGAATGACTCCTTATAAAGACTTATAAAGGAATATTTACAATGAGTTTGTTTGTAATAATCCCAAACTGGAAACTAACCAAATGTCCCTGTACCAATAAGTGAAATAATTATGGAAACTCTATCTGTTAGAATACTAATTAACAAACGAATATGTTGACAATTAATATATACAAAATGATTATGCCAAACAAAAAGAAGTAAGAGCTAAGAAAGTAAATATTGCATGATTCTGTTCACGGGGAGTCCAGATGGTGCAGTGACATTCATAGTGACAGAAGGCAGATCACAGGCTGCTTGGGGTGGGGCAGGGCTTGAGAAAGGACTCACCACGAAATCTTTCCTAGATGGTGGCTGTGTTCATTCTGCTGGTGTCCTGCTGGCTTCTATGGATGCATGCATACTGCAGAAGTTGTAACTTACTATATGCCAACTACGGTTCAACTGAGCTATGTAAGGACATTACTTTTTCCTGAAGATGGTCCAATCTCTAGAATCCTGGGTAGATCATGTCACAGTTCTAGTTCATAACAAGGTTTAGTTTACTCCTGCATGGACATGCTAGATGCTTATTATCCCATTAGTGTCCTTCCTTCTCATGCTTCCACAGATGAAATACCCAAACCTCCAGTCATCTAAATACATCTCCCAGTGACCGAAGACAAATGACCTCTTCTACACCACATCGGCCCTCATCCAGCATCTGGTTGTAAGCCCCTTCACTGAAGGCAGGGTGCACTCATCCATTCTGCCTTTGCCCATAGTCTCTGTGGTACTTGTTGACTTCTAGCTGGGCAGTGTGGCAGAGGGGAGAGTTTTGGGACTCTAGCGCTGGGTTTGCACTACATGGTGTGTGACTTCCTCAGGTGGGCTTGTTCACTGGACTCAACCTGTGTTTTCTTAAACCTGTTAAAGGACGTCATTGCATTAAAACTGAGGTTCACCCCAAGTCTTGAATGACAGGTATGTTTGTAACCATAATGTTAAGTGAAAGATTCTAACTTCAAAATTATATATGACCTAATCCCAATTATGTAAGAAACCTATTGGAATAAAGCCCTATGAGATCACACACATTTAACTGCAAATATAGTTGAGGTCAGTTTTCTCTTTTAAAGATGAACTTTGTTAAAGAGCAGCTTAGGTTTATAGCAAAACTAGTGGAAGGGACAGAGATTTTGTTCAGATACCCTGTAACAATTTGGTACGTAGCCACCTGCATGATGAACATGCCACAAAGAGTTCTGTATTTGTCCTAACTAGTGGCCCTGCATCGATCCGTCATTACCACTCACAGCCCTCAGCCCACAGTCGTGGTCACTCTTGGGGCTGTGTATCCCTTGGGTCTGAACAAAGGATTTAGACACATGTCCATCATTGTAGTATGGTGCAGAGGAAGATAACCACCTTGCAGTTTCTCTCTACTTGGCTATTCTTCTCTTTGCCCTGGATTCTGACGACCACCTTATTGTTAGTTATTTCTTTTGGGGGAGCTTTGGAGTTAGTCTTCAGACTATCTACAATGCGAGTACACTACTTTTCTAACTGGAAAGTCTGAGAAAGCAAGGTATTTCCTTCAGATACTCAAGATTGTGGGTTGCTGAAAAATCTCAACAGGTTATGAAACCAAACAAAACACCAAGGACCAAAATTCTTCCCTTTCATATTCTGAGCTGACAGGATGACAGTGACTCTGGAGGGCTTTGAGTCAACATTTGCACTCTGTGAAAGACCCTTTCTTCTGTCCTACTCTGGGAAGAAATGACTTGAGGTGGGCTGTGTTACATTTGAGCATAGAAAGGTGTGATTGGTGGAGGCCATGCCAGTCAGAATCTAGCATCTTCTGGCTTCTACTAGAATAACAGGGAAAGGCTGGGGTTTTCCACAGATGGCCAGATTGCAAGTGAATCCAGGGCTTGCTTCTTGTAGGAAGGGGCTCTCTGTGAAACCTCTGCCTGGTCCTAATTCTTCTTCTTCTTCTTCTTCCTCCTCCTCCTCCTCCTCCTCCTCCTCCTCCTTCTCCTTTGTAAACAGGGCCATTAAAATCAAACCATCTATTGAAGGAAACCTAGCAGGAATTGGATTATTCTTCTTTAAATCTCAGGTTTAAAAAATATGAAAAAAAACTAAGGATCTCCCTGGGCCCCAAATCAGATAACTGCCTTTTCCTGATTTAACCCATAGGGCCTGGTGTTTTTCTTCACCATAAGCAGATGAAATGGTGCATGACAAGTCACTTCTCCAGGAGGAAGTCTGAGGAGATACCTTTGAAACTCAGAGTGATAGAGCTACCGTGAGTGATCAAGGCCATGTCCACCTCCCCTACGTCACTGTCCATCTGTCCTCAAATAGCACATGATCTCCTCTCTGTGAGTCTCCGATGTTATCTCCTCAGCCACTAAAACAAACTCTGCTCACATTATTTTGGGCCGTAAGGCATGATTAGCAACCTGAAGGTTTCTCTGGAAGTTCCTAGTGCCTGGGTGAGAAGTTGGGGCAGCATGCTTCCTTGCTAGAAGTTTATAAAGTTGCCCTTTCCTTCCTGCTGGGAGAACATTGTGTGTCAGAATTTGACCTGTTACTCCATATGAGAGGTAAGACTGACTTGTGCCTTAAATACATTTCACCAGAGGGCCCGGGATTAGTCGGGTGGGGTGCTGGCAGGAATGAGTGAACCAACAATACTGAGTCTGCTTTCCCTACAGCTGTCACCAAAGGCACCAGGAAGGTCCAGGTTCCCTTCTTCCCTGCTTTCTGGATCTCTACAAGCTGACATGATAGCCTTCTCTTTCTAACAGATGTTCTGAGTTCTGTGTATAAGGTTAATTTTCTCTTCTCCCTTTCTCTGGTCTCTCTCCCTCTGTCTCTTTCCTCTCCCTCTCCCCTGCTCCTTAAAATATTTATTATTTTCAATTATGTATAGTATGTGTGTCTGTATGTGGATATGTGCTTGTGTCCTCTCTGGCCTCTGATCCCCTGGAGTCAGATTACAGCCTCAGATTATAGCAGAATTTCTCACCTCTGCTTCCTGAGTAGCTGGGACTACCAGCACACACACACACACACACACACACACACACACACACACACACACACACACACCAGTATCCAACTCCATAGTGAATTAAAAAACAAAAACAAAAAAAACAAAAAAACCCCGACAAACCCCAACTAACTAGTTTACCAATCCTGCCAAACATTGAAAGCTCTTCTAGTTTCCCTCCTGGGACAGGAAAAGAGATCAGGAATTCAGCTAGTGTCCACTTGAAGAGGCTCTCATCCCAGTCTCTGCTGAAATTGTTCCCATTCTTTTTCAGCTGTAGTACCTCTTACCTACCCATTCTTTTTCAGCTGTAGTACCTCTTACCTACCTCGTCTGACACATATTTAAAAATAAGATGGAACTGTTTTCTTCGCTATCCTCACTGTTCTCCCCAAGAGTAGGGATTCAGCTTTGTGTGTGGATACATTGTTTCCACAGAGCCTGTGCAGTAAACAGGGTCTGCCTCCCCGAGGCTTCAGGCTTCGTATTTGAAACCCATAGAGCAAAGTGCACAGTCCACAAGTGACTTCCCACCAGAACAGGATACTGAGCTGGCCCGCCAGGAGATTGAGGCTGCGGGCTCAAAGATAGTCTGGCTGACTGTAATGAGCTAAGTGGAGCGTGTTCATCTAGAGTGTGGCCCAATGCTAATTGCTGATACTATTGAACATTTACCAGGGGCCAGGCACTGCTATAAGCCTTAGGACAGCTGCTAACTCATTCAGTCCACACAGCAATACTCATTATCTTCCTGTTTTACAGAGGGGACAGCGAGACACAGACATTGCTCAAACATGCTCATAGCTAACTGCTGGGAATGAGGTCTGGATTCCTAACCAATATGTTCTTTTGCCTGATCTAGTTTAGGTGGGGAGTGACCAGGACATTTGTATTGAACACGAAAACAAATGTCAAGGGTGGTGAGTGTTGCCCCTTCCAGTACCTGGGTTTGTCAAGAGCACAGAGAAATAGCTTCTAATTTATAAACATGTCCGGGAAGATTCCAGATCTGCTGCACCAGTGGTGGGGCAATGGATCATAGCTGCTATAGCAGCTCCACCAGGAACTAACTAAATTGGTGCTTTTGCAAGGAGAAAACCATCTGGCACCTCGGCTTCCTTGCTCTATGCAGAAAGAGAGCAGAGATTTGAGGTTACACAAGTCTGGATTGAATCTCCAGCCCCATGATGGTCTCCTTGGCTCCATTGTGTGAAGCAGTGTAAGTTTGAAGGTCAGAGGAAAATGAAACAGGTATCTAGAAAACAGATCTTCAAAACCAATTTTTGCTGGCTTCTTTTGGTAATTATTAGAAACTCTCCAACTTGTTCAAAAATGACAAGGACATTTCTGTTTTAAAATTTAAATTTATGTGCGTGGATGCTCTTTTCTGCATGGTTGTCTGTGCACCATGTGCATGCCTGGTGCCTATGGAGGCAAGAAGAGGGCATCAGGAAGTCACAGACCATTGTGAACTGCTATGCAGGTGTTGGGATTTCAACCTGAGCCCTTTGCAAGAGCAGCCAGTGGTCTTAACTGCTGGATCATCTCTCCAGCCCCTCATGGACATTGTTTGTTGGCCCATCAGGACGAACTCTTACACACTTGCCCTACCCACTCCAGCCGTCCATTGGTAGAACGTAGAATCAGGTATACTTCTGCCAGAGAGCCAGATCTTGGCACACAGACTCCCCCCCACTCCCAAGTCTCTTGTGAAGACTCCTCCACATCTCTTGCAAGCAACTTGTCAGAAGTAAACATCTGGTAACCTGCTGCAAGCCTTGACCTGCTATGCTCCAGGACAAGGGAAGGTAAAAACCTTCAATGATCCTTAGAATCCCTCAATTGTATGGATAAAAAGAAGGCTGGCCAACTAGTTCCTCCTCGCCTTCTGTGGTGGTTTGAATAGGAATGGCCCCATAGACTCGTAGGGAGTGGCGCTATGAGGAGGTGTGGACTTGGAGGAACTGTGTCACAGTGAGGGCAGGTTTTGAGGTTTCATATGCTCAAGCTACCCTCAGTGTGGGACACAGTCTCCTTCTGCTGCCTACAGATCATGATGTAAAACTCTCAGCTCCTTCTCCAGCACCATGTCTGCCTGCATGCTGCCGTGATTCCCACCATGATGATAATGGACTAAACCTCTGAACTGCAAGCCAGTTCCAATGAAATGCTTTCCTTTATGAGTTGCCACTGTCATGGTGTCTCCTCACAGCAATAGAAACCCTAACCAAGACATCCCCCAAATCTCATGTCCCAATGTCTTACCAGTGTCTGGTGCACAGGCCTCGTCTGCTTTGGCAGCGTTATCCGAATTATAACCTAGGGAACAAAAAGGAGATGTAAAGGCCAGGCCATGCCCTCCAGACCTTAGAGGGACATTAGGGTACCTTCCCGTGGGCTCCAGTTCGTGTAGGTTGTGTTTGTGTCCTATGTTATTATCAGCTTGTCTCATGCTGAGACTCCAGTAAGACAGCAGCTATGACTTCCCCTCCTCTGACAGTCCCTGGTTAGTCCTAGCTGGAACTACTTTTCTACCACATGTCAGTTTGTGTTCCCTCTTGCTCCATCCTATCCTCTGACCCCCAGTGACAGAATCACCCCCCATTTTATACTTCTTGCTGAAGGACTCACCAGACCAGGTTCTAATGAGGCTCTAGAAAGAGGAGTCCCTGTCCTTTGGTCTCCCTCCCTCCCATTTCCCCCTTAAGGAAGTCACTATGTTCAGGTTCCCCTCTAGTGCACTGCCTGTGCCTGTGGCTGGGGGTCACAGCTGTTCAGCATCCTCCCATCTTGGGGAAAGCTGGTCCTTGTACCTGAGACATTGGGCTCACTACTGCTGGCCCCCTCCTTTGGGTGGTCAGGTGTCTCCTGTCTGGGCTTCTGGCTGAAGGCCAGGAAGAGGTGTGTGCTCAGTGGCTGAGGAAGGTCCACCTCCAGGTATGCCCTCATGAACAGCTTGAAGACATCATAGCTAATGGGCTGAGAAGGGCAAGAAGAGAGAAGTCAATAGAGGGAAGGGACAGGGTGGAGAAGGAAAGGGAATGGGGTGATGGCCGGTGAGCGGGGGAGTGGAAGCAAAGGAAGTGAAGGGGTTGGTGGGGGCAGGAATGAAAAGGCCAGGAGGAGATGGAGAATCAGAGGGGTCAGGGGCAGGGGATGGGACACAGACAGAGAAAACATGGTGTCTGACCCTCGGGCGCAAAGTAGGCTTTTGTAATAGGGTATGGTTTGGTTTAAATTTGGATTAAAAGTAAGGGTGATAAACTCCCCAAGGCTCAGAGACTACTGTGAAAGAAAGGGCAAAACAGATTGTAAGGCTCAGATATTGGGGTGGACCTGAGTGAAACAACACTTTCCAGACATTACAGGACTGCTACACCCATTTTCTCAGCAGTTGTGCTTGCCTGCACAAGACCTGCATAGGATCAAGCCAGTCAATGTTATAACGTGGAGAGGAGATGGGCTCAGGCGTCCTCACCACTAGCTGAGGAGCTATGGACAGTTGATGGCTTGTGGAAAAGAGTCAGGTTCCATCAAGGGTGTAGTCCCTCGTAGGTCTATCATGCTTCCGTGGATGGGCCTACACCCATGAGTATGTGGGTAGCAAAGCTGAACATAGTGTGTCAGCATCAGAAGAGGACATTGTGTTAGAAAGGGGCGAAGGGGTGAGAAGGGTAGGAGTGCATATGATCAAAACATTATATGTAAGTATGAGATTCTCAAAGGGTTACCAGCAGCAAGCATAAAAAGTGGGACTCATAAATGGAGTTCTAGGGATCTGCCTTTGTCCAGGCTCATGTGAAGGTCATGGGTCTACAGAGCAAGGACTCAGACCCTGCTTTGAAATTCTGGTGATGATGAAGAAGGATGCAGAAGGAACTAACAAGGAAAGAAAGGTTCTTTGGTGGTTATCACGATTTCTCTGATTCTTGAGTTCAGGTCTCCAGAAGTAGGAGAGCTTGGTGAAGAAAGGACAGGCTCCATCCTACAGAGCTTCCATAATGTTCATCTTCTCTAGAAAGATCCTAAGATGAAAAGGCATTGCCTGTGTTTGGCTCAACTGTATCCTAGAATAAGCCATTGTGATGACTTTAGGTATCAAGGAAAGCAGGAAGCTAAGGACAGAAAGTGGAACCAAGGGGCATGCCCAAAACCAGACCCTGTCCCCATAGTCTCTCTTGATACTGCCTGGCATCTGGTCCTAGGCTTTGAGCATCCATGCCAGAAAAAGCTGCAGCCCTCGGCAAGCGTTCACTAACAATAACAACAGTTTGTAGTGAGTCATCCCTGGCTTGCACTTTCATGGTGTTGGAGCTTCATCCAATCACAGACACTCCTGGAAACCATTTGAAGAAGTGCTGCTCCAAGAGCTGCCACACTGGCCTCTGTGAGGAGTAACAGCCAGGAGAATAGAATTCCTTTCTGAAAACCTACTTGGTGTTTTCTAGATAATGCTGATAGTATTTAACCCCTTTCATGTTCTGGGGATTCGGCAAGCCTTCCCAGAATCAGCAGCCGACTTAATGTGTAAGGTCAGGTGTGGGCTCCATTGAGAACTCGCAACCATTCTCTGCTAAGTTCAGGGCTGTACTAGAGATCTCTTTTGCAGTGTGGCGGAAGCCTGATGTAGTTGGTCACAGACCATTTACTTACTTTTTTATTTAATTTCCAGATGAAAAGAACCCAGCGCATGGTTGACTGACATTTATTGTGCCCTCTATGTTGTTCTGTGTCCCTTTTCGTCCCAAGTCTCTGATTCTCCGCTGCATTCTCTTTATGTCTCTCTCTGTCTCTACCTCAGACTGTCCCTTCTGCATACATCCTCTGCTCTTCTTCCAGAATACAGTGACAGGGTCATTTCGTAACCCATCCACTACCACCCTTGCTTCTGCCCTCACTGTCTCTGATAGCATCTTGCTTACCTTCTACCCCCAATCACATTCCAAGGGACTCCTTCCCTTTCTCTTTAATTTCTCCAAAGACACCACACTGGCCTTCCTTTCCCCTCGAATTCCACTCTGTTTGGGTTCCTGCCTCTTGCCCACGAACCTGCTTCCTTGGAAGTCTTAAGTGTAGTCTCTTTGTTAAGTTTCATCTCAGCTCACTGAAGAATTTCACCCTCTTTTCTTGAAGCTACTTTCCACATTGAAATTTTATTTTGATGCTTCTAATTCCCTATTTTGGTTCAACCAAATCTTTGCTAATGACGTTGCTGTTCATTCTTTTATTTCGGAAGCTCCTTTGCATTATCTGTTTGCACTGTTTTAACTGACAGGTGCTGCTTAAAGGACAGCTTTGAGCTAGCACCAACTGGAAATAACCAGAATGAAGTGTCTCTGGAAAAGAAGACACTAAGAAGAAGGTTTAGCGGCAGGCCACGGGGGTGCACACTTTAATCCCAGCACTTGGGAGGCAGACACAGCTGAGGCCAGCCTGGTCTACACAGTGAGTTCTAAGACCATAGTCTTGGAGAGATCCCACCACAAAACAAACAAACAAAAAGTTTTTCTAACCAAATTCTAAGAGAATGTGGTGGGAAACAATCAAACTAAACAACAACACAAAGCTAAAAGGTGACTGGAAAAGATTAGTGTGACAAGTGCCAAGCCACCAATGTGAAGTCCCCAAAGGCAGCCACCAGATGTCTAGTGTCTAGAAAAGCAGTGGGCTGGATATGTCTGAGTAAATTTCTTTTTTATTTGTTTACTTGTTATTAGCATGTAAAAATTAGGGTTCATTCATTATGACATTTTTTCTTTTTTCTTTCTTCCTTTTTCTTCTTTCTTTTCCTGTCTCTCTGTCTCTCTCTCTTTCTTTTTTGAGACAGAATTTCTCTGTAGCCCTGACTGTCCTGGAACTTGCTCTGTGTACCAGGCTGATCTTGAACTCAAAGAGATCCACCTGCCTCTGCCTCCCAAGTGCTGGGATTAAAGGTGTGTGCCACTACACCTGGCTTTTTTCAAACAAAATTTGTTTTTTATTGTTTTCCTTTCCTTCTTGTTCTCCCCTCCCCCATCCTTCCTGAGTGCACTCCGACCCCTCCCCTCCTCTCTGCCTTCATGTCACATGACTCCCTTTGGTTCCTCTACTCTCTGTCTCAACATCTCTTGTTCCCCTCTCATGGTCTCCGATCTGGTTTCATAGCCTATTAACCTATCTATAATCCCTTATTTTCACACACACAAACACTAAAGTTTGGATCTGCATTTGAGACAGACTGGAATTTTTGGCTTTGTGAGTTTGTGTTGCTTCACATAATGTAATATTTTCCAGATCCATCCGTTTTCCTACAGATTTCATAATGTCATTTTTCTTTATAGTGGGGTAAAATTCTATTGCACATATATGCCATGTTTTTATTATCCATTCTTTTGTTGATGGACATCTAGGCTAGTTCTATTCTCTGGCTGTTATGAATAGTGTGACAATAAGCGTGGGTGTGGAAGTCCCTTTGTGTTAGATATGGAGTCCTCTGGGGTTATATGCAGGAGTGGCATGACCAGGCCACTCGGCCAAATCCCTACCCTGGTCTCAGGCATGTGATGCTTTTCCAGCTTCAGTCTTATCTTTAGCAATTATTAGTACCGGGCCAGAAGATCTCTTAACCTGGCTGGCACCCTCCTTAGTTAGGATCTTGTCCCTGACTGTCACTTCTGCTAATACCAATGACAATATTCCAAACTCAGCTTTGACCTCACAGTGACCTAGAACTGGTTCTTGTCCCTTCATTCTGCAGGCTTAGTTCCTTTACAGTACCCGACACACCTAGACCCTTTCCAGGTCCATTTCCCCTCAAACCATCACCAGAGCCTGACTTCAGTTTCATGTGCTTTTAGCCAGACCATTGCAATGCCTCTAGTTTATCATTTTTAAGAAAGATTTATTTTATTTTATGTGCAGGAGTATTTTATCTGCATGTACATGTGTGTGTCACATGCATGCCTGGTACTTATGGAGGTTATAAGAAGGCATCAGATCTCCTGGAACTGCAGCAGTAAGTTGCAGATGGTTGTGAACCACCATGTGGACACTGTTGTGCCCAAGTCTTGAAGACCCCCAGAGACTACCAAGGAGACAGACTCACCAAACTGCAAATGTGAGACTTTATTGTTTAATCCTACTGGTAGGTAGGGACTCCATGTCTAGCAGGGTGATGGAGCAGCCTCCAGAGGGAGCATTAGTGGTTTCTACAGCTTTGTTTGCTACTTGCAGGTAGTTTGTTCACATTGGTTGGTGCTGGGAGGGAGCTTTCTGTGGTTTCTCTGTCTCTTGGAGGTGGTTTGTTGTCAAACACAATTTCCAGGAAGGTTGTCTTGGAGTTTTGCTCACAACACAAGAACTAGACACCAGGCGACTGGATTTGTTTTGAAGGCTTTCCCACAACCTTTACATTCATTTAGTTTCTCTCTAGTATGAATCATAAGAGTTGAATGGGAACTTAAGGCTTTGCCACATTTATACAATTTCTCCCCAGTGTGATTTACTAGAAGTGAAGCCTTTGAGTTTAGTTTACCTCTTTCAGACACTGGGAATAAAATCTGGGTCCTCCCTAAGAGCAACGAGTCTCTACACCGCTGAGCCTTCCTTCCAGCCCATGCAATGCCTCTGGAAGGCATCCTTGCTCTTACTTCCCTCTGTTGCTCCTCCCATCTGTTGTACCCAGCCGTGTCAGGCTGATTTTCCCAAAGCACAACTGTGACAAGATTGATTTCCTACTCAAAAATTTTTCAGGGCTTCTAATTGCCCATGGGAGAGTTGAGAGCCGCTTATGCATGACTGATCTCCTGTATTATACGTGATAACAGGTATACAGAAAAGAAACTCGGATGAACCCAAGGAAGTTTAGATAGAAGCTTAAATATATATTAATATATGAATAATGTTGCTACAGTCCAGTTAGTCATCCTGGGCACTTACACTTTCTGGGGCCTTTGGGATTCAGAATCTACTCCATAATTCCACTCCAGCCTAGATGTGGAGTCACTTCAAACTCTCAGCCCATCTGCCACTTTCTCTTGCTATCTGTTACTACACATCCTGTCCCCATAGTCCCCTTGTTCTTTCCCGAGCAAGCTCCACAGCCCACTTCTTTCTTTAACTGTTAAAATTCTAGCGCTGCATTAAAGCTGAATCCAGGTGTCACATTGGGATTTCCTGCACCCAAATTTCTCTAATTTGCACTCTGGTTCTTGCCTTGTGAAACTCATGGATGCTGTTCTGGAATAACATAGCAAGTGGCTATCCATTCTCATACTGGATTCAGAGCTCCTGGATGATGAGACTGTCTCATTTCATTTTTGTCATCACAATATTCCTGATAGATATCTGAATAGAGACTTCCCAGCTGGTACATCAAAGAGATGGCCCACTGTAGAGCTGGCCACCAGCGGACCATTCTCCCAGGCAGGCAGAGACTCGGTGTTCTGGATACAGAGGTACAGGTATTGAAATGACTGTAATACATGGTCAACAGTCCTGAGTGCTATGGGATGAGAACAGGGTGTGAGATCTTAGAAAGCAGCGATGACCGAATTCTTGCGTAATCATTCATGATCCAACTCCAGCACCCCCTGGGAAGTGGAAAGGGCTAGGATCAACCCAGAACACTCAAATCAGAAAATACTCAGAGGACCTGGGTCTTGTTATGCCACTGGTGCTCAGGACATTCAGTAACTTGTCCCAGCCCACTAGAGGTAGGATGAACCAGAAACCTATCTCTGGATCCTGTGACTGTTACTGTTGCTGTCACAGGTTCCTAGGCTGGTACAGTGCTCCCAGCCTCTCCCTCCAAGCACCACAACTTCAGTGAGCAAGAGAGACTGATTGTGTGTCCCTCTGAAGGTGATACATAGGGTTAGACGGCTCCTTATAAGCACCGTCTGAACACAGTGACTCCTTACCAAATGTTTAGTGGATGACAGGGTAAGAAGGGCTTGAATATTATATCCAACTAATACCAGCCATTAGAGGCACACTGGGAAGGAACCATCACCTTCATCAGCACCTGCATCATTCATGTTCTCCCCAGAGCTGCAAATCCATGAAGCAACCTGCCAGGCAATTGCTATTGCTGTAACCTGTTTTAAGAGGGTCTGTTAATTCTGCTCCAGGTCTAGAAGAGAGGAGAGAAACTGGAGAAACTACTGTGCTCCAGGTATGAGGCAATGGTACAAGATAGGGCTATAACTCACGCCTTAAAAGCCTGCTCAAGGTTGCCATGCATACTGTAGAGCTTGAACTTGTGCTCAATGTGTCTTAGTACCACTGAGCTACCATTTTTGTTTGTTTGTTTGTTGTTGTTTTTGGTTAGGTTGGGCTTTCCTCACTCTAGCTGTCACCACTGTTCTCTCTAGAGGATCACTGGTCAGACCCACCCCTCTGCAAATTTCCATTCCCATTCCAGCTTCTCCAGCAGCCTGCCTCTACCAGCAGCTAACTCCTTTCTCGCTAAGACATTTTAGCAACAGGAAGCCGTCAAGCTCAGGAGAAATGAAACGCTTGTTGTTTCACCAACCCCATGCCATGACATTACACCTACCAGAAATCAGACGAGCTGCGTGACTGAATGGCAGGGCTCCCCCATGATGCAGCAGGGCCAGGCATACAAAGAGAGAGTGGCCAACCCTGAGGGGTGTGAGGGCGGCTGCACACTCATGACAGACAAGCTCCCTGCTTCTGAAAGCCCCTCTTGGTCTTCACATCAGTGGTGGCCCTGACCAAATTGTTCCCCTCCCACACACCAGCCCCTAGGCAGACAGGCTGAGTACCAGCCCCCGCCAGCCTTTGTTCCCTGTTTTTTGGAGTTGGAGGCGGGAGGTGTGGGGCAGTGAGTTCTTTGCTGCTCTGCATGGCTTCTCTTCAGGAATGCTCTTTGAAGTGGTGTGTTCTCTCCCCGTTCTGCCAACCCCCCTCCTGCTCTTTCTCCCAGCAACTGGTGTTTTATCTTGGTGGACCTCAAGAACACTGTCTCTGTTGATTCGTTCCCAGGAGCCAGTGGAGAAGGCCTTGGCTCAGGTTTGTCCAGTGAATGACAGTGTGAATAAGTAAATGGCAGTCTCTTCCTAACTTAGTTTTGCTGAGCTGTCACTTTTCTCCAGTAAGTCTCCATAAAATTACCCAGGGGCAGGGGAAGGGGAGGAGAGGATAAGGCATTCTGGGGATGGGGATAGATGGGAAGTAAGAACATGTTCTATAAAGTATTTGGTATTTGGCAACGTTTTTTCCTTTTAATTCACTCACCTACTACCTTCAAACTTTTAATATGCTCATTAGCTTCAGTCCATAGGCCAGGAAACCGAGACTCAGTGACATACACAATCTCACATTGTGGGGTGATGGCAGAGGTTAAAGGCTAGTCTAAAACCATGTGATCCAAGGACTGGGACTCACACTTGACCTTGGCAGTAATAGGGAATTCCTGAAGGGAGACACTATGCTTCACGATCTTTGACTCCTCTGCAGAGCCCAGCACAGTGCCTGCATACCCAAGAAATCCTACATGCCTTGAACTCGAAAACAGGCAGAGGCCTCACAGCATTTACTCATCCAAAAAGCATTTGCCAAATACTTGCAATGAGCCAAATACTCTCCTGGGCACTGCAGACACAGCAGTGAGCAAATATATTCCAGTGAGAGAGACAGAGAATTAATAAGCAAATTAGTTAGCATGACAGATGGTGTGAAGTACCAAGAAAAATAAAGCAGAGTAACAGAATAGGAAGTGTGCTGAAGGAAGCCTTCACATGTTGGATGAAGAAGGTGACAACCACTGGGAAGGTGATTTGAGCATCAACTTGAAGGAAGTCAATGTCTTAGGGTTTCTATTGCTGTGAAGAGACACCATGATCAATGCAGCTCTTATAAAGGAAAACATTAAATTGTGGTGGCGGCTTACAGTTCAGAGGTTCAACCCATTACCATCATGGCGGGACATGGTGGCATGCAAGCAGAGATGGTGCTGGAGAAGTAGCTGAGAGTCCTACATCTTGCAGGCAACAGGAAGTGGTCTGAATGTCACACTTAATGAAGCTTAAGCAAAGAAGACCTCAAAGCCCACTCACACGGTGACAAACTTCCTCCAACAAGGCTACACCTACTTCAACAAGGCCACATCTCCTAATAGCGCCATTCTTTCTGGGGGTCATTTTCTTTCAAACTACCACAGTGAAGAAACAAAGAATGTAGGTATATGTCAGAGGACATTCTGGGAAACGGAAGAGCAAGCTGGGTGGTGCTGAGTGAGGTTACAGAGCACCAGCTTGTCTAAGAGCATCAAGGAGGCTAATATGGCATGAAGGATTGAAGACAGAGAAGAGAGGAGGTCTAGATTGTCCTGAGTAGGGACTGGGGGGTAATGGAAGAATGACAGCTCAAACATATGTTCTAACAGACCGCTCAGGATATGTATGAAGAGTGGACAGCAAAGGGCAAGAGAAGAGGAGAGCCCAGTAGGAGACTGCAATGGTCTGAGCAGAGAGCAGTGATGAGTCAGGTCCTAGAGCCTGGCAGGAAGGATGATGTGGATCTATTTTACAGATAGACGTGGCGGGGTTCTCTGCTGAACTGGGTGGGGAAAGTGAGAGCAAGAGATAAGTCAATGACAATTATATACTCTTGAGTGATTAACCTATTGCTAATCGAGTTGTCCTGGACTGACTGATAGAGAAACATGTTTTATAGGGGAAGATGAAGGACATCAATTTAGTTAATGTTAAGTTTGAGATAATTTTCAAGTTTTAGATGTCAAGTGCAGGGGAAAGAGAAAACAAAACAACACCCCCCTAAAAAAAAAACCCAAAAACCTGAGTGTAGTGTCCTGAAACCAAATGATGAAAATGAAGGAGGATTTGACAAATTGCATGCAATACCATTAAGTGACATCACTGTGGGATTTAGTCACATGGTGTCTTCACTAGTGGCATCAGTGAAGGAGTGATTGACGGATTCTGGAGAAAGTAGAAGAGAGCGTGGAGGAGATGCATATAGACAAATTAAAGTATTTTTGTAGAGGAGAAATAGTGTGATTTGTGTCACTGGGAGAAATCAAATGTCTACAGGCAGACTGATGTGGAAAACATAGGGACAGGGAGAATGGGAGCGGGGACGGCTGGGGAGGGGGGGGGGTCTTGATTCAGCAGTGCCTAACAATAATCCAAACACAGGAGAACTCAGAGCACAGACATCTTACCACAGTGACGGGGAAGGGGCACAGGTGAGGAAGCCTGCCCGGGGTTTTGCTTCTGTCTTTTCAGTGTTAACTGACAATGAGGAGAGCGGGAGGAGCAAGGAGCGTGGTCATGGAGTCTGGTAGGGCAGCATGGGCATGTGAAAGGGGGAGACACAGATGGCATGAATGGCTCGCTTGAGACCTGGGGGAACACAGGTCTCAGAGCAAGGTCTTCAAGGCAAGTTAAGATGCCAGTGGGGAAAGGCTGGAAGGCAGAGTTTATTTTTTTCTTTAAAGACTTGAAATAGAAATAGTCTTACCTTGTGTGGGTCACATTGTTTGAGGCTTCCACCTTCATTAAACTCAGTCAACACATCTTTTATTTTCTTGGAGGAATCTGGAGACACACAATTCAAATGTAAAACACAGGTAAGTGGCTAGACAAAATCTGCCTAGACTTGTCCTGTGTGTCCTTGTATCCTTCCCCCTTTCCTGGCCTTCTCTCTCTTTTGACTGTCTGAACTACCTTTCTTTTTAAAAAGATTTTATTTTTATTTTAAATTGTGTGCATGATGGGGGGAGGGAGGGAGGGAGAGAGAGAGAGAGAGAGAGAGAGAGAGAGAGAGAGAGAAATCTCCTGGAGCTGCAGTTACAGCTGGTCATGAGCCCACTTGATGTGGGTGCTGGGAACCAAATTCAGGCTCTTAACCTCTGCTCTACCCCCAGAGTCGCCTCCCCAGCCCCTGAACTTCCTTTCTGGAAGGCCAGTCTCATCAGATTAGGTCCAGACCCAGAGGATTCTCACTCTCACAGAACCGCACTCCCTGTTAGCTTGTGCTCAGCCCTTTCAAGACGCTCCCAGCTTTCCAGTGACACAAAGTATTTCCAGAAATTTCCAAACCTGCTGTATATTCTCCATGGCATTTCCCCGCCTTTCATACTTCTCTCAATTTTCAGTACCCCGCCTACAGTCAGCTCCCATGTAAAACTTGCCTTTGGGGTAGAGTCATTCCCACCCTGGGCTCCTCTGTGATGGGCATGCAGCTCTCACCACACAGAATTCTATCATTTATTAGCTTGATTATCTTGATTGTGTATTTTTGGAATACAAAGGTACTTGCTGGATACATTTATTCTTCCTGGTTCCTTTTGGCCCTCTTCCTTCCCTCAATGATTTGATTTGGGAGGACAGAGAAGTTGTTGTTGTTGTTGTTTTTTTCTCCAAGTTAAAAAAAGGAGAAAGATAGCTCAGTAGGTAGAGTGCCTGGTTACCTTGGTGTGACCCCAAGAAGGTGGATGGTACCTGAAGAGCAACCTCCAAGGTTGATCTTTGGCCACCATAGATACATGTACCCGCATGCATGTTCACCTACATGAACACACATACACACACACACACACACACACACACACACACACACTCCAACCACCCCAAAGTATATGAAGGGTGCTGTGATAGACTGGTCTGAAGATAAAGAAGGACTTTCTGGGGGCTATGGGAGGCCTCTGGGAAAACTGAGGAGTTCTGGGGTGCTAGAACTGCTGCTATGTCTTTCCATACCAAACCAAGAGCAGACACAAAACATTCTAAACGTGTGTATGAATGTTTAATCATCTGAGACAGGCTCTCAAGTATCCCAGGCTTGTTTCTAACTCACCATGTAGCCAAGGATGACTTGAACTCCACCTCCCAAGTGATGGGCTTACAAACTTGTACCACCATCTTGGCTTGTGAGTAGAAAGTCCAACACATTAAAAGACTTGTCAGCCCTCAGGAAGGTGAGGCAGGATGACCAGGGCCAAGCTAGCTGTGGCAACATAGTAAGTTTGAACCAGTCTGGAATATAGGAGACATTATCTCAAACTATGCACCAAGCTGAACCAAGCAAAATCTCGAGCTGGGTGTGGCAGTGTAGACCTGTAATTCCAGGACTTGGGAGGCTGAGGCAGGAGAATTGATAGTCTCAGGCCAACTTGGGCTGCACTCAGAGTCTCTGTGTCAAACAGACACACAGACAGACCCCCCCCTTCTTAAGACAACAACAAAGCAAATAAGAACCCAGCAAGAAGGCAGTTTCATTAATTATATCCAGTGGGAAGTGCTGGCAAGGTTCTGCCCTTGGTGCTGAATTGGTGAAACATTTCTGTGGAAGGTGGTTTCTTCCGGCTCTGGGATCCTGACAGCTGTTTCCCCTTGTCCTTAATTTTTATTTTCCATCTTGTTGGAAAGAATTAAGTTATTCATCCTGACACACAAAATTAACCTCAATTATGTCTTACAATTAACCTGGCTGATTTTGATAGTCTAAGGCTGCTCTATTGTGTTTCTGACAGTGGGGACTTCCCCTGGAAGCTGCCTCTCTCTAACCTCTGCATTTCCCCATCACTGCTCCCCATAGGGGACATTTGCACCTGAAGAGAAACAGATATTTAGGGGATTCAGGAAGCACAGTGACTTAAAAATTGAGCTGCCTATAGAAAATAATCCAGAAGGGGCTGGAGAGATGGCTCAACCCTTCAGAGCACTGGCCCCATGAAGGCAAAGTGCTCCCACACATGAAGCAAAAATCAATCTCAAAAAATATTCAGATACACAGGGAAAACACTGCTGCTTTGCAGGGATTTTGTAAGAACCGAGAACGAAAAGAATTAGTAATTGTCATAGAAATGCATCGTGTATGGGTGTATGATTCAGCAAAGTAGACCGTGAAGGAAACCAGTGTTTCTATGACCTGTGCTTCCCCTGCCTCCAGGAATTGTGGGTAATTAAAAGCTTCTTCAAGCTTCATTATTGCTTCTATTTAAACATCTGAGTGAAGGATTCTTCATGGGCTGGGCTGTTCTCTGTGGCTTTGCTGACTAGGAGCCTATCAAGCAGAAGTTATAATCATTGCAGGATTGAGGCATTTTGAAATGCTACATGAAAATGCTTCTGTTGCCTAAAAATGGAAATTTCTTTCTGAAACTCAAAACAGATGTTGAAGAGCTAATAGCTCAGTAAACTCAAGGCAGCAGATGCCAACAATTTGGGTTGCTTCCATTCAATTCAGAAAGCAATGTGGGCAGCAAGATGCTGCAAGGGCTGTTGGAAGCACTGGTGGGGTATGGTTGAGTGGTGTGGTGATGTAGACTGGCCCTGATCGGGGATATTTATCTGTGGATGCTCATAAACTCTCCTCTAGTTCCTACAGAATAAGGGAGAATTCCCCCAGTCTACGAACGATGAAGTTAAAATTCATAAAAATGAAATGGCTTTCCCAAGAGAAGGGTTTTAAGGTTTAGTCTGGGTCAAGAGTATGTGTTCTTTCCCCTCATCATATTTCACTACTGCTGAGAAAATATTTGTGAGAACAAGGTAAAGGGTGATGACTGTGGTAGCAGTGATGGCCCCAAATGAATCAAGATGAGACTGAGATCCAGGTGGGGCTGGTTGTGAGCTACACTGGGTCTGTGGCCGCTGAGTTGGTATAAATGCAGGTATAAAGTTGAAGGACTCTTCTCAGAGGGGACAAAGTAAGCCAAGATGGAGGGCTCTCCAAGAACACAGAGAAAGAGTTAGAACTGAAGGGTAGATTGGGGTCAGATCTACGGGGTTCTTGAATGCCAACTGAAGCTCACTGGTTCAAAACTGTTAAAGATGTTTTGAATAGAAATGTAACCACCAAGGATTTTCTTTTCCTCCCTCCTTTTCTCCTTTCCCCTCTCTTTCCCTCTATCACACATTTAATTTTAAAAGATGGATACAATGTCCTAACTCTATTGTCAAGGAAAGTATTAAACAAAGCCATTCATATTTGAGAAGTATACATATCAAAATATAATTTTTTAAAGATTTATTTATTATGTATACCATGTTTCCTCTGCATGTATGCCTGTATACCAGAAGAGGAAACAGAAGTGTGTGAGTGTGTTCCCTGTTCCTCTTGTTTACTTTTCCTTTCCTTCCTTTTTTTTGTTTTTTGTTTTGAGACAGGGTTTCTCTGAGTAACAGCCCTGGCTGTCCCGGAACTCACTCTGTAGACCAGGCTGTCCCCAAGCTCACAGAGATTCACCTGCTTCTGCCTCCCAGGTGTGGGATTAAAGGTGTATGTCCCCTTTTTTTCTTTTTAATGTATCTGAATAATCATGTCATGACCATCAGCTTTACCCAGTAGATGAACACTAAGTCAGGAGATACAACCTTCAAAACTCCAGGACTGTGGTTCTGAAATCTGGCTGTGTGTTAGAGTCACTTGGGCAACTGGCATGTGTACAAAACCCTGCTCTCAAGATCTCCTAAGTCACATCGATTGCTACTCTCAGCAAATAATCCATTGCAAAGCTTCCTGGTGGATTAAAATGTGAGCCATGCTGAGTATCGCTGTTGTGCCATCTGGTTATGTTCTTACAAGCGAGGGAGGACTACCTTAAGAAGCAGCTGCTCCTGTTGGGTAATTATTTAAAGAAAGAAGCTCACAACTGTGGCAAGTCTGAAGTTACTATGTGAGGCAGACAATTTCCCATTGTTTAAATGGCCAGGACCAAAGAACTTTATCCAGCAGGTCAAATTATTCAGTTGTTTGGCAAAGCTGGGCTGAGTTTTGTATAAACTCAGATTGGCTGGACCACGAGCAGATAGTCAGGTGTGGAGAAGGCTCTCCTCAGTGAAAGGTCACTAGTTGTTACAACTGCTCTAAGAAAAAATTTAATCCATGATTATCCCATATGTTTTGTGAGCCAGGAAATCTGGGACCTAAACTAAACATCTGTTCCTAGCATTTCAGAAAATGTAAAGCCTATTTATGAGAAAATGCATTGGCTTTGTTCACAGAGCATTTCCACATGTGTGTGGGGCAGGGATGCTCTCCGTGAGAGCAAGCAGACCAATCAGAGACTTGTGTTGACAGCAGAGTATCAGCCTGACTAACTGGACCAGAATCCAGAAGTTTTTAGGCTATCTTCTAGCTGTGGACACAATTGTTAAAATTGGAGTTGACCATGAGTCAACATTACAAAAGTGAATCTGAAAACTGATATACAGAAATGAAATTTCAAAGTGCCAAACTCTCCATTCCTCAGAATTTCCTAGGAGTTATTGAACTGTAGTGAGGTCAGGAATTACCTGGGATCTGGGGAGAATTCGGGGTCTCACCATGTAGATCTGGACCAAGGCCCAAGATGACACTAATTGTAGTGATGTTGGTTGACCTCACTCTGGGTGAACAGGCCTCAAGCAATACTCCTGTTGATGGACTAACAGTTCAGGCTCACTTCTAACAACCCAGAAGAGAGCATGAGGTGGAGGCCAGGCAGATGTATTTTATATACTGAAATGATAGTAGATAATTCCTAACTGGGGAGTGGTGGTAGTGGGATGATGCCAGGAGAAGGCTGGGATGTACAAATACATCTTGAAAT